CCTCCTGGGTTCAGGCAATTCTCCTGCCTCAGCCTCCTGAGTAGCTGTGATTACAGGCACGCGCCACCATGCCCAGCTAATTTTTTGTATCTTTGGTAGAGACGGGGTTTCACCATGTTGACCTGGATGGTCTCGATCTCTTGACCTCGTGATCCACCCGCCTCGGCCTCCCAAAGTGCTGGGATTACAGGCTTGAGCCACCGCGCCCGGCCTTTCATGACATAATTATTGAATGACCACTGAATTCCATTCCCTCATGTGGCTTCCATGAGAGACTTCCGTATTTCTCTAATCATTCCATTATTCCTCCCCCTTAAGCTAGTGCAAGTTGCTTTCTTAACAATCAGAAAGCCCTCCCAAATATATTGTGATATTCTCCCCTTCATAACCACCACTTACTTCACTACAGGTATATGTCAAGCCTCAGGAAAGACAACACCAAAGATGGGATCCCACGTTCCCGCTCAGGAATATAGAATTGGCATATGAATTAGGTCGGTTTGCGAGTAGCACTGGAGGTGATGATGTCTTGGCCGGTAGGCGAACTAAGAAAGCAGATAGAGAGAGAAAGTAGACAACAGTGGTTCTGAGACATCCCTATATTTTCCTGCTAGGGACTGAATGTTTGTTTCCCACACCCCCATTATGTTGAAATTTTTTTTTTTTTTTGAGACGGAGTTTTCCTCGTTACCCAGGCTGGAGTGCAATGGCACGATCTCGGCTCACCGCAACCTCTGCCTCCTGGAATCAGGCAATTCTCCTGCTTCAGTCTCCTGAGTAGCTGGGATTACAGGCACGTGACATCATGCCCAGCTAATTTTTTGTATTTTTTTTAGTAGAGACGGGGTTTCACTATATTGGCCAGGATGGTCTCGATCTCTTGACCTTGTGATCCACCCACCTCGGCCTCCCAAAGTGCTGGGATTACAGGCTTGAGCCACCGCGCCCGGCTATGTTGAAATTCTAACCTCCAATGGTATTTTGAGGTGGGGTCTTTGGCAGGCAACTAGTTCAATAAACGTGGAGCCCTCATGATGGGATTAGTGCCCTTGATCATGATGGTTTCACACATATGTCAAAACCAATCAAATTTTATTCTTTAAATAAGTGCAGTTTCTTGTACTTCAATTGTACATCAATAAGGTTGCAAAAAATGTGTTCAGTTATTAACTGATTTCATTTAGAATAACCAATAATGTACCAATAATAGTACAACATTTAAGGCAGTCCCTTATGACTGTGCTATTTTGGACTTAATAACAGTACTTACTGATTTATTCCACTGCTTTCCCAACTCCCTTTACCCTCTGCTCCCAGGCTCTACCTAGTCCTCATAAAAGTGAATGATTATGAATGTCATAACCAATCTGGTAAATTCAGGCCAGGCATGATGGCTCACGCTTATAATCACAGCACTTTGGGAGGCCAAGGCAGGGTGGATCACTTGAGGTCAGGAGTTTAAGACCAGCCTGGCCAACATGGCGAAACTCCGTCTCTACTAAAAATAAAAAAAAAAATTATCCTGGCGTGGTGGTACGTGTCTGTAGTCCCAGCTATTTGGGAGGCTGATGTGGGAGAATTGCTTGAACCCAGGAGGCGGATGTTTCAGTGAGCCGAGATCATGCCACTGCACTCCAGCCTGCGTGACAGAGCAAGATTCAAAAAAACAAATAAAAATTGGTAAACTCTAATTCAGAATTAGTAGAACTGGAATGCAAGATCTTACACATTCCTCAAATTTGTTAAGGTTTTGTATTTTAATCTCTACACATCCCTTCCAGGAGTCAAACATCAGTTTAAACTGGGGTAACTGATTAAACATATTCCAGTGTCATAGCTTATGTCAAAATTATCTACTTAGATTACAACCTCTTTTAAAGACAAGGCCACATCTTTAATTTTGATTCCCAAGTTTCCAAGCACCATGTCTAGTACAGAGGAGAGTGAGAAGGAGCAGGGAAAGGGATAAAGGATACGAGGTAAGATAGGAAGAAAAATGGTGTATGTGCAGAGTATGTGTGGGAGATTATGCAGGGCCTTGTAGCCCATGATGAAAACACTGGACTTAAGTTTGATTGAATACAAAGCCACTGGTGATTCTGAGCAAAGTGGCATGGTCTGATTTATATACACATATATATATATATATATATCTCGATGTATACACACATTTTTTTTTTTTTTTGAGACAGAGCCTTGCTCTGTCACCCAGGCTGGAGTGCAGTGGCACAATATCAGCTCACAGCAACCTCTACCTCCTAGGTTCAAGCAATTATTCTGTCTCACCCTCCTGAGTAGCTGGTATTACAGGCATGTGCTACCATGCCTGGCTAATTTTTGTATTATTAGTAGAGACAGGGTTTCACCATGTTGGCCAAGTTGATTTTGAGCTCCTGACCTCAGATGATCCACCCACCTTGGCCTCCCAAAGTGATGGGATTACAGGCATGGGCCACTGCACCCAGCCTAATTTGTATTTTAAAATAAGGATCATTCTGAATGCTATGTAGAGAATATGCTATTTGAGGAAAATATGGAAGCAGGGTATATACCAAAGAGTATACCAAGAATGGGTGCACATGTTCACTGAAAGACAGATGTGATTATTTTCACAGTAACTTTATTCATAATGACCACAAGCTGGAAACCACCTAAATTTCTATCAACAGTAGAATGGATTAGTAAGTTGTGATGTAGTCACACAATGGAATACCACACCATGAACTGCTACTACATATATCATGGATTACTCTCATAGATACATTGTTGAACAAGACATGGAAGAGTGCATATAATTATTTCACTGTTTTAAAACAGGCAAAACTAATTCGTGGTGATAAATGGGGTTGGCGGGGGGCCTGGGGAGCACAGGGATACCTACTGAGGTCCTAGAAATGTTCTACAATTTGACCTGGGTGGTGCATTCAAGGGCATATATAAAAGTCCACTGAGGTATACACTTAATATTTGTACACTTTTAGATTTTTACCTCAATAAAAGGTTGAAAATATATTGGAAGAAAGCATATAAATGAAGACGTTAATCAGTGTTGTTGTCTTCCAAATACTTCTGGTTTTCCTCCTAGGTATATGTAAGGATTACACTCCTCCTAGCACGTTAATGTGGCTATGTGATTTGCTTTGGCCAGTGAAAGTGCTTGAAGGGTCCGTAAGTGATCTGCCATCCTCTCTTTTTTCATTTCCCAAAGTTAGCAGCCACACTCTCAGTGGTATCTGCTTTGTTAGCCTGAGACCCAGAATGAAGGCAACTTAAGAGCACAAATTGGTCAACTTTTTCTGTAAAGGGCCACAGAATAAATATTTAGGTTTTATGAGATGTACACTCTGTTGGAACTACTCAACTCTGACATTGTAGAACCAAAGTAGTCACAGATAATAAATGGACAAGGCTATATTCCAGTAAAACTTTATTTAGACAAGAAGCTAGACAGATTTTGCCCATGGGCCATAGTTTGCCAACCTATGACCTAGACCAAAGTACCTAGCCAAGTTGCAACAGAAAAGTTATGTGAGACAGTGAGATTTTGCCTTTGTTATCCAATGACAAGCTAGCCCACGATGACACAGAAACTGGTCCCTTGTTTTAATTCACTTACTGGGTAGGATGAGGCAACATTTTAATGACAGAAGGATAAAAATGAAAAATCCTTTTAAAAATAAACAAATAAAAATAGTATTTTGGCCAAAACATTGATCAAAAGCCAGTTTTGCCAGCCAGGTGCAGTGGCTCACACTTGTAATACCAACATTTTGGAAGCCTGAGGTGGGTGGATTGCTTGAGCCCAGGAGTTTGAGACTAGCCTGGACAACATAGCAAGACCCAGTCTCCACATAATACAAAAATAAGCTGGTTGTAGTCGCGTACACCTGTAGTCCCAGCTATTTGGGAGGCTGCAGTAGGAGAACTGCTTCAGCTGGGGAGGCAGAGGTTGCAATGAGCTGAGATTGCACTATTGCACTCCAGCCTGGGCGACAAAGTGAGACCCTGCCTCAAGGGGGAAAAAAAAAAAAAAGCCAATTTTGCAGCAAGAACCAAATAACTAGATGACTATGATACCTACTGTTATGATATCTGAATGATTTAATATGCCTCAGACTAAAAGTCCAACTAAGATTATACTAGTAAATCCCTTAAATTGGACAAAATGGCTTATGGAAATAGACTAGGGAATGGCTTTCCCACCTACCCCTGAAAAGCCTCAGTTACCCAGAAATTAAGTTAGAGAGGCATGGGAACAAAAAGGCAAAGATACACAGCAAATTTAAAAAGTATACATTAACTAGATATGACTTTTCGGTCATCTCCCTTTGGGTGATAAGGACATTCTGCACATATAAAAACAAGTGAACTGAATATATAGTGACCAGAAAGGCTGAGTCATTCTTCTATTTTGTCAAATTTACTTACTTTTAAATCCCAGAAGAGCCAAAAATCATCTGTAAAGCAAAGTAGCAAGTAAATAGCATGCCATTTTGTCCTAGTGTTGATGCCTACAAAGGGAAAAATGATTATTAACTCTTAGGTGGCATTATCTTTTTCCAATACGAAACGTAACATTTTAATCACTTATGTATTGTTTTAGTTCACTAGATATTTGTCCAATCTTTTCCCTCTCTATGTAGGTTCCTTTGAAAATAATTTTAAAAAAAGAAAGATTCTATACATGGATAAAACTTAGTATCAGTGGATTTAGGTGTGTATATCTGGTTTTGAATTCTGAGTTTACTACTTACTATGTTTACTAGGGAAAACTGCAATTTCAGTTTGTTTAACATTCACATAAATATGAGTCACATGCTAAGCACTACACTAAATTCTGGGAATACAATGAGATCCCTAGTTACAAAGAACTTAGCTTCATTTCTCAATTAGTCATATGCGGATAGAAGTTACCCAATGGACAGTCTAAGGCAGAATGACTGTGGAGGTCAAAGAAGACTGTGAAAGAGCTTCAAAAATTCTAAAACACTACACAAATATTCATTTATCCAAACATTTATTGAAATGCCAGGCATTGTGCTAAGCACTAGCGATATAACAGTGAACAAGGCTTATATGGTCCCTGCCCTTACAAAGCTTACAGTCTAGCAGTGATCAATAAGCATTAACAATAAAGTGTGCCAAGTGTATGTTTAGGAAAGAACAGGGTATACAGAGAATGCATAGTAAGGGCACCTAATCTAGAGGGCATCAATGAAGGTTTCCTAGATGAAGTGGCATACTGAGACCTTAAAGATGAAGATAAATTTGTATTGTATACTAAGAGCAATGGTGTAAGCAGTAGAATGATATGATCAGTAAGTCTTCTGGAGCAATTTGGTTGTAGTGTCGAAAGGAATAAAAATAAAAAACAGGGAGACTAATGAGGAGGCTGTTGCTATAATTTAGGTAGGTTGATGGCCTGAATTAAAATGGTAGCATTGGAGAGTTGGGTAAAGTCATGCACAAATCAGTTTTTGGCTTGGGTAAGGACAAACAAAGGAATGGCTGGTAGTGGTAATGCCATTTGACATGAGAGGAAGAGCAGGATTGGGGGCAAAATCAATGATACGTAGTGCCTGAAACAGCAAAGAGGATTTGTTAGCAATTAGACGTACGAATTAAGAAAGGTCTAGAAAGGAGATATGAATCTGAAAGTTATTTGCATATAGGTGGTAATGAAGCCATGGAAAGAAATGAGATCAGCTAGCAAGATGACATAGAATAAGGCAGTCTGAAACAACGGTTTTTAAACATACAAAACCCAGATATTTAAGGAAAGAGATGCCTACAAAGACTAAGAGAGCATACCCAGAGACGAATCTCCTCAAAGCTAAAGTCATCAAGTGTTTCAAGGAGGGCAAGACTATTAACAAGGACTTAGTGAGCTTAGTAGAGCAATTTGAGTGGCAATACAGGAGACTGGGAATACAAATCTGTCAAGAAAACTAGTAGGAACGAGCTATAGGGCAGGGCAGTAACTGGTAAAGACATAAGAGTTCTTTTAAAAGGTACTCATTTTAACTATATTCACCGTTACAAGAGGACCAGTAACAACTATATTTATATATATATATATATATTAGAAAAAAAAAAGACTGCCATGCAGTTACAGAATTACTTATTACAGAAAACAGTAAAATACACTTTTTTTTTTTTTTTTTTAAACAAACAAGACTAGTTTATAGCAAATTCTCTATAGCTAGGGTCAATTGAAAATCCTTGGCTTATATCTCCCCCTCAATGACTATATAATACAAACTAATTTTATTAACACCTTAAGCAAAACATACTGGAACTTCACAAATATACAAGATTTCCATATTTAAGGAACTGGGGTTAGAAAGCAGAAGTGGCTTTCAGGTCTTCCAATCTTTCTCTCAAGTAATAAAGCTCTGCTGTGAATATTCAAAGCTATTGGGAAAATACTGGTGGATGTGGCTGTTTTTTTGTTTCCCACTGTTGTTTTTCCAGATATGTAAGCTTACTCTGTTAACCAAAATCTCAACTTGACCATTCTTGATAAGTACCTAATCAACATATAACTTTTTGTCTTAAATATGTTTAACAAGACAGAGCCCTTAAATCGGATTCAATATTAATTCCTGATTTACAAGGAATATTGTGAGCTAACAGGCCTTTATCAATGCCTTTATTGCACTTTACCAGCCAAATGTGGAAGGTTAGAATTAGTCTCTCCTATCTAGTATTGTCAGTTTGCCCAACTTGCGCTTTTAATTTTGCTTCGACCACTTATCTACCCTGTCCCTTGAAATAAAATAATCTACATTTTGGGAGGGATAATTCTTCATTGTGCCAGGCTGTCCCATGCACTGCAGGGGGTGAAGGTCTCTAGGCTTAAATGCCAACAGAAGCTCCTAAATATAACAACCAAAAAAGTGCCCCTACACATTTCTCAGCATCCTCTGGAAGGACAGGTTACCACGTCTGGTTGAAAGCCACTGGCACAACTTTCGTTTTTAGGCCCTTATGGAATTTATTTTGATTGCCCAGACAACAACTCCATCCAGATTCTTAGTTGTAGCCCGGTTCCTTGAATTTGCTGCATTAGTAACCACAGATTAAGGTGTTTCAATAGTTAAGACAGGACTTTGGAACAAGAGTTTTTAAACTGCATAATACTTGAGAGGATCTATAAATATAAATTGGATCCTGTTTACAATTTGTTTTACATAGTAAACTTAATATTGCCTTTTCATGGTTAACAAGTTTGGAAATCACTGTTTTGGCACAAAGCAGGTATCTTACTAGAAATACAGAATTACTGCAATCTGTGAATAAGACTGCTTTTAAATACTTCTACTTGTGTGCTGTCTTAAGTACAGAATGTGTAAGACAGTTGCAAATTCTAGAATAAATCCATTTCTAGCATCTAACAAAATCTGATACTGTATCATTTTAAAACAAAGTGTTTCTTTTAAGCAGGATTTAAAAAAATAAAGCAATAACACCCATGCAGATAAGACAAAAAAGCTAAAGTATCTCACATCTCCTAATCTTGGAGTGCAAACATCTTTTCTCCTCATCCTTTTTGTTAGGGCCAAACTTCCGTTTACGGTTAAAAAAAAATTACTACCTGGTAACCGTTAAGATTCTATACTTACCATAGTCCTTTAATAGGCAAGCGGATAAAATAGCCCCCCGTTATAAAAAAAATTCAAGGAAAACCCCCAATAATTAGTCTTATCTCCAAACTGCAGGAAGTCTCCTATATCAGCAACTTAAAAATGATTCTAATTACTCCTTCTATCAGTTATGCCAGTTATCACTGAGGTGGGTGATTGGGAGGGAAGAGGAAAGAAATCTGTCAATATTACCTTCAGACTCAGAAATGTTTAAAAAAAAAGTCTCAAACATTTTGATGGTTAGACAAAACACCGCCACTGTATGTATGGTCTTCCTTTTTGGAAATTTATGAACTTGCTATTTGAGTTTCTGCAAATTGGTTCAAAAGCACATTTAAGGAGTTGATAATTTAAGATTATATGAATCAGAATTTTAACACTCCATTAAAATAAGAGCTGAAATTTTTGGCATATACCTTCAGAACACCTAAAAAACAGACTGCAAATTCAACTCACATAATTAATACTAAATCTCTTTAAAATTAACTATCATAAAAGACAATGATTTTGTCATTAACCTAAGTTTTAAAAAAGGTGGCATTTTCATGTTTCAGTCCCATGGTGCCATTTGAGATGAAAAAAAAGGCAACTGTCAGAATTTGAATTGTGATCAGTTTGGACGGCTGGTACGCGGTGCTTTCTCACAATCCAAATTAGCAAACTTGAAAACTCAAACCAATTTTTGCTTTTAGAATTAAAGTACTGTTGAGTTTCTCAATCTTGTACTACAAAGCCTTACGGATTCGATTCATTCCTTTCTCTCACAAGATCATCCCAACTGGGCTCCATTTCAGTTGTGGCAACCCGAAACAGGGCTTGGAGATGCTCATCTGTCAATGGCTGACTCAAAGTGTGTTGGTTTCGAGTCAAATATGAAAAAGCCTTTTCGCAGATTTGGTTACTATCAAACAAGGATGCCACCTTACAGGCAACCCCTTTGATAATTGGGTAAGATTCAGCAGACAATCCAGCATAAAACTGCCCCAAGTCTTTGATTCTGTATTCATTCCAAAGATTAGTGTTTGCCTGAAGTTTTGTTAGCTCCACCCTCACTGAAATAGGTGCATATTCAGGTTTAAAGTTAAATGGATTTGAAAACAGTTCTAAGTCCTTTTTAATGAACCGGAGGTCCTTAAAATGTCTCTCAAATTCTTTTTGTAGACGACAGATCACCATTTGATACCTATCAGGATCAAATATTTTTTGATCTTCCTTATTTTGCTGTTTGAGCTCATCAACAACTTCTTTGAGGGCAGGAAAGTCCGTTAGATTTTTTTCCTCAATATGCCTTTGAAATAAATTCAGCTTAACTTCGAAAGTACAAATATGGTCAAAGGCGGAAGCAGCAAAGACCTTACTAACTCGTAATTCTTCACTGAGTACTCGAAGGTGTTCCATAATGTCTACCAAGAAGCCAAAGTCACAAAGCCACTGTTTGTCTGAGAAGTGGACTGTGGTTGCCCCTACTGAAACCAAGAACGCTTCCATCTCTTTTCTTAGAGAGAATATTAGTTTCAGCGTTTTCCCTCTCCTAAGCCAATTGTTCAGGCATCGTCCGTTAACCCTTTCGCCATGCTCTGATTCAGACTCAGTTAGTAAAGTCTGAAATTCAGGTCGCCTGACACCTCTGGTCTTAATCAAAACTATCCATTCGGATATGGTATTTATGATCTGATTCACGTCTACATCGTAGGAGCTCAAGAGTTCCAAGTGAAGAAATCCTGAATAGTGAATCACATTCCAACAGTTGGGGCTGACGGCCTTTTCTCTCATGTAAGAGACGAGCCCCGAGTTCTCCCCAATCATCCTCAAAGTATGGGTCGTGGTGAGTCCGACCATCCTCTGCAAGCTAAGCCCCGCCGTCTGCAGGGCCTCCAGGATGGCCGACATGAGCGCGCCGACGCTGAAATGATGAGTCAGGTTGATGATGGTCAGCAGGTCTTCCTGCACCTCCAGCTCAGCGCCCACACCGCGGATGAAGACCAGGAGGTAGTTCTCGTAGGCCACGAAAGCCTGGTCGTCCAAGGCAAGAGAATAGGCTTTGAAGTCCCTGGCTCGGTTAAAAAGCTGACTGCGTAGATTCCTGTCAATGCTCAGGAGCCTCTGCCTGGCGCTGTCTGGAGACAAGTCAACGCCTTGCAGGACGCTGACGTGCTCGGGCAGGACCTCTCGCAGCAACACCTCCATGCACTGGTAGACAAAGTCCCCCTCACCCCAGCCGCGACCCTTCAAGGCCAAGAGGCGGCAGAGCCCGAGGCCTGCACGAGCAGCTCTCTCTTCAGGAGTGAGCGAGGCCACGGGCAATTCGCCCTGACGCAGACGCTCCACCAGGGCCGCGCGCTCGCCGTCCGCCACATACCGCTCGTAGTATTCGTGCTCAGCCTCGTAGTGGCGCCTCACGTCGCGTTCGCGGGTAGCTACGATGAGGCGGCGACAGACGAGGCACAGGGCCCCGTTGCCCTCCGGGGGCTCCACAACCAAGTAACGCTGGGTCCACTCCGGCCGGAAAACTAGAGCCTCGTCGACTTCCATCTTGCTTCTTTTGGGCGTCATCCACATTCTGCGGGAGGCCGCAAGAGCAGGGCCAAACCGTTAGAAAGGCCGCAAGGGGAGAGGAGGAGCCTGAGAAGCGCCAAGCACCTCCTCCGCTCTGCGCCAGATCACCTCAGCGGAGGCACACAAGCCCGGCTGTGGCATCTCTGTTCCTATTGGCTGGATATTTCGTATTCTCTGAGCCCCCTAAGAACGAACCAATAGGAAGATCGGACAGTGATTTCTAACGCGCAAGCGCCTATCCTTCTAGGTAGCGGGCAGCAGCCGCTTGAGGGAGGGACGAAGAGACTCAGCAACCCACGGAGTTGAGATATTTGACTGGCATTCAAATTGTCCAATCAATAGCTGCCTCTGAAGGGTGGGGCTGGACGGCGTAAGATACAGCTGAAGGAAGAACGTAGGCCCGAGGCACTGAGGTGATTGGCTGAAGGCACTTCCGGTGAGCATCTAGACGTTTCCTGGGCTTCTCTGGCGCCAAAATGTCGTTCGTGGCTGGGGTTATTCGGCGGCTGGACGAGACGGTGGTGAACCGCATCGCGGCGGGGGAAGTTATCCAGCGGCCGGCTAATGCTATTAAAGAGATGATTGAGAACTGGTACGGAGGGAGTCGACTCGGGCTCATTTAAGGGCTACGACCTAACGGGCCGCTCCTCTTAATGGCGCGGACACACCTTGCCCTGGGCAGAGGTGTGTACAGCGCATGCCCACAACGGCGGAGGTCGAGGGGTTCCCTGGCGCGTGCCAGTCAGGCCTTCTCCCTTTCTGCCAACCGTGTGTTTACCGCTCTCGCGAGACCTTGTAAGGGTGATTTGGGGTGCGAGTGGAGGAGTATACTTAACTGTCGCCTTAATGGTACCGTTAACTAAGGAAGTCAGTTCATCTAAAATGATGCAGAAGATACAAAGTTAAAAGATGTATAAAAGCTTACAATGGGGAAAAATCTGTTTTTCAGAGGTGACTGTTTTCTTGCTAATTCCAGAAATCATCTGTACATATCCAAAGGCACAATTCATTTTGAGTTTCATTCAAAAGACAAAGTTGGAGTGTTAGGACAGGCTGATGCACTCTGGGCTTCACTTCTGATTACCTTGGGTTACACTATTGTTAAATTAGTGACCCCACTTAGTGTTTTCCTGTCGTTTACTTGGGAGGGCGCACTTCGAAGATACCAGATTTTATGGGTCGTCTGTGGATTCTGAAGCTTAGAACTGTCACAAAAAAATGTGGAGGGAGGAGATTTGAAACATGGGGAAGGAAAAGTGAGTGTGGACTGTAAACCTCCAAAAATCCGTTCCCAAAATATACCTAAACGTTATGTCAGATCCTTTTTGTTAAAATCAGTTGATGTTAGTGAAGTCTGTACATTAATAGGAAAAAAATGCTTCAGTGAAGAGTGGTAGGTTTCTAGAGGGATTTGTTGTGAAAGTATAAACTATTCAGGGCAATGGGACTGAAAGATCAGTGGGTAGAAAGGACCGCTGAAGGAAAGGAAGAGAATTGGAAGGTAGATGAAAGAAGTAGCAAGGAACCTGGGGATGTTTTCTCCTTTTCACTTGTAATAGCAGTAGTAGAAGCAGTGGCAGAGTGGCTTTTGTTTCTACTGTGTTAGAATGCTGTGACAGAACAACTGGGCCTTTTATTGTACTGTGCCAGAATACTGTAAAACAAAACTAAACATACTAGCTTGGTGGCTTGTAATTAATTCCTTAAGTGGAGATTTTTATATGGAGTCCAGTTATGCCCTTTTTAGCATGTAAGTTGAGATGACTAAATACAGCTTCACTACAGCAGCTCATGAGAAAAGTCTTTAATATTTAAGTAATTTACTGTCTTCTTTTTTTCTTTTTCTTTTTTTGAGATAGAGTCCTACTCTGTTGCCCAGTCTGAAGTGCAGTAGCATGATCTTGGTTCAGTATAACCTCCACCTCTCGGGTTCAAGCTATCTTCCTACCTCAGCCTCCCAGGTAGCTGGGAGTACAGGTGTGTGGCACCATGCTTGGCTAATTTTGTAGTTTCAGTAGAGATGGGGTTTCACCGTGTTGTTTAGGCTGGTCTCGAACTCCTGACCTCAGGTGATCCACCCACCTCAGGTGATCCACCCACCTCAGCCTCCCAAAATATTGGGATTATAGGCAGGAGCCACCGTGCCCAGCCTAATGTCTTTTATCTGAATAAAGAATTGTCTGTGTGGGGAATAGATAACTCTTTCTCATGCAGCCCCTGCTAGAAAATTTGTTTTCTCTAGCAGGTAGTCTGTGCTTGTAGGCTACTCTTTTGAAAGCACAAAATATTTATTGATTTCTTTTTTTTTTAAACCAAGTTTCACATTCTTTGGCTGAAGTGCAGTGTCTCGATCTTGGCTCACCACAACCTCCACCTCCAGGTTCAAGCGATTCTCCTGTCTCAGCCTCTTGAGTAGCTGGGATTACAGGAATGTGACACCATGCCTGGCTAATTTTGTATTTTTAGCAGAGATGGGATTTCTCCATGTTGGTCAGGCTGGTCTCAAACTCCTAACCTCATGTGATCTGCCCGACTTGGCCTCCCAAAGTGCTGGGATTATAGGCGTGAGCCACAGTGCCGGGCCAAGAAATTTATTGATTTCTTTTTTTTATGTTATTTTTAAAGATGGGGTTTCACCATGGTCAGGCTGGTCTTGAACTCCCGACCTCAGGTGATCCGCCCGCCTTGACCTCCACAGTGCTTGGATTACAAGCGTGAGCCACCATGCCCAGCCCATGGTTTCTTAAAGATGTGTTAACTTTCTGCATTACTGTTTTTTTCTTCCCTCCATCATAATATAAAAGGGGATAGTAGAGAAAAACATTCAGAATTTTAATTTTTTTTACTGACATTTTGTTAGAGTCACTTAAGAACCTGAGGATGAATAAAGTTCAGGTAAAAGTAAAATTAGTTGAGAAGAGGTATGTGCCAAAATAAATCTATTTTTAACTTCACTTGCTGTCTTTCCTAGAGGAACAGAAATAGTGCTGAACATCTATTAGAAATGATGGTTGCTTTGCCCCCTCTTCCTTCTCTCTCATACAGTGAGTGAACTCATATAGTGTATGAACCTGTAAGACAAAGAAAAAACACATTGATGAGGCACTGTTGTATTTATTTGGAGTTTTTTTAATAACTGCTTGGCTCATTAAAATATGTACATTAGAGTAGTTACAGACTGATAAATTATTTTCTGTTTGATTTGCCAGTTTAGATGCAAAATCCACAAGTATTCAAGTGGTTGTTAAAGAGGGAGGCCTGAAGTTGATTCAGATCCAGGACAATGGCACTGGGATCAGGGTAAGTAAAACCTCAGAGCAGCAGTGTGTTTGTGCACTTCATGGAAGGGGCAGGACCGTTCTCTGTTCTGGGAACTAGGCTTTTGCAGATGGGATTTTTTTCGTTGAAAAATGCAATACCAACAATAAATATTTGATGAGTACCTATTTTTTGCTGGGCACTGTTCAGGGGATGTGGCAGTGAATAAAGCAGATTAAAATCATTTCACTTCTGGTGCTTACATTGTAGTGGTGGGAGACAGAAATAGTATGTCAGATAGCATTAAGTTCTATGGAGAAGACTAAAGCAGGGAGGAAGATAGGAGCGCACAAGCCGGGAAGTATGGAATTAAATTGAGTGGTTCAGGAAGGCTTCAATGTGGATGTGATATTTGAGAGACCGGTGGAGGTCAAGTAGCAAGTCAAGTGGCTGTTTAAAGGTATTCTTGGCATACGGAACAATGTAAACAAAGGTTATTAAATGGAAGCATGCCTGACATGTTGAAGAACTGTCGAGGAAGCTAGTTTGTCTAGAGGCTGAAAAGGAAAAAGTAATCAGAGATGAGGGCTGAGTAAAAACATGTAAGTCCTTGTGGGCCAATTTTTAGGTTTTTTTCTGAATATGGTGGGATACCATTAGAGGGTTTTAAGCAGAGGTTACCTGGTTGTGGTGATTTTTTTTTTTTTTTTTAATCCTCTGTCTTTCAACGTGGAAAATAGACAGCAGAACAGGGCAGAAGGGGTCCGTCCTGCAGACGGCTTGGTCGCAGTAGAGATGAAAGAAGCAGTGAGATTCTGGGTTGATGATGGAGGCAAAGCTCTCAGAATTTGCTGATACAGGGTGTGAGAAAAAGAGGAATCAGGAATGATTTCAAGGTTTTGGCCTGGTAAGTGGAAGAAAGAGTTACCACTTACTAAGATGGGAAAGACTATGAACGAAGCAGATTTTCGGAGAGATCAGAAGTTCATTTTGGGGCATGTTCAATTTAAGATGCCTGTTAGTTGGATGTTTGTGAGTTTGGAGTGCAGGATAGAGATTTAGGTATAAATATTTGGTGGTTGTCTGCATTTTAATCGTATTAAGTCATGAGACTCACCTGAAAAGATGCTCAACATCATTAGTCATTAGGGAAAGAAGGAAAAACCACAATGAGATACCACCTCACACCTATTAGGATGGCTCTTACCAAAAATAAAAACAAGTGTTTGCAAGGATGTAGAGATTGGAATTCTTGTGTATTGCTAGTGGGAATGTAAAATAGTGCAGGCTGTGGTGATTCCTCAAAAAATTAAACATAATTATCATATAATCCAATAATTCCACTTCTGGGTGTATACCCAAAAGAAGGGACTCAGACGAATATTTGTACACTTATATTCACTGCAGCATTATTTACAGTAGCCAAAAGGTGAAAGCAACTAAGTGTCCATCAATAGAGGAATGGATAAATAAAATGTATTAATTTCAGCCTTAAATAGAAATGAAATGTTGACACATGTTACAACATAAATGAACCTTGAAGACATCATGTTAAGTTAAATAAGTCAGTCACAAAAGGACGAATATTGTATGATTCCTCTTATGAGTTTCCTAGGGTAGTCATAGTCATAGAGATAGTAGAGTGGTGGTTGCCTAGGGCCGGGAGGAGAGGGGAGAACGGAAATTATTGTTTAATTGGTACAGAGTTTCCTTTGGGGAAGATGAAAAAAATTCTGGAGCTGGAT